AGACGGACAGGCTCAAAATAGCAGGCGAGAGAGCAACGTTTAGAAATCAAGCAGTTTGCGTTATTAATGAGCCTTTTATAAACCCACTCGATTGCATTATTATTGCAGTGATGACCACGCTTTCAGATCAAGGATAACGCCGAATAGGAACAATACACTGGCCTGGTTGTCAGGGTGACGCACTTGGTGCACAGCTACGCAGGTCTTCGGTTTAGCATTAAACGAGCCCCAATTCTGGCTGCAGAGTACATTTGTGTTCCTCATGATTCTCTGCGTAAACAGCGATTATTTACTTGAGCAGCGTTAACTAGTTGATCTTTGTAATCGTAAAGTGTTGTGTTTTCTTCGCGGTACAGACTGATTTCTTAAATACTATTTACATCGAGCGTAAAGTTCAAAATGTAAAGCCAAAATTCAGGATAAGACTATACAGACGATCTCTGCGTCTGTATAGTTTGATTCTGGATTTTTGCCTTTACATTTTCTATTATATCTGACGCTTCCACCTCAAGAGTAATGGTTTTGTACGTTAAAGTATTTACGAAAATCTGCGCGCCCCCTCTGAGACCAGATGGAGTGTTGATTCTTTCTGGTTGTTGTAATCCAGTGTGCGTCCATCCTCCAGCTGCTTGCCAGCAAAGATCAGTCGCTGTTGATCAGGTGGAATTCCTTCTTTGTCCTGAATCTTGGCTTTAACATTCTCAATCGTATCAGAAGCCTCTACTTCCAATGTGATTGTCTTGCCTGTCAGAGTCTTAACAAAGATCTGCATTCCTCCACGAAGCCTGAGCACAAGATGAAGTGTAGATTCTGGAAAGAAACAACACAAAATGTAAGATGGGGAAAATAACACTGCTCTTACAAAGACCATAATTACAAGTTCTTGTGTCCAGTATGAGGAAGGTGGTTTGAATGTGAATGGTATTCACATTCAACAGCTTTTTGGTGACAAGTCATTTAACTGGCCAGAAAATGGTAATTCAAAGTATGGCCAAAATTCAACAAGATCAAGGTTTCCTGTCAAAAAATTCTAGGTAATCATTAATTGAGTAACATTCAAAAGTAAAACCTATACATAAAAAGGTTTCTGCCTCTCTAACCACGAACAAATTTCAGTGCTAACATTTTCTTGAAAGTTACATGCAAAAGAGTAAATGAAGGAATTTTTTCAAGATCTTCAACAGCAAAAAGTTGAGAGTGGAACCACGACTCTGAAGAATCCTACGTAAATACGCAAATGCAGCAGTAGCATGAAGTGTGATGCGCCTTTATCCCTTACCTCAAACTTTGTTCAACTGTAAGAGATCACGATGTCCACCGGCAATTATCAATTCAATCAAAACTAAACTGGAGTATCACAGATTTCTTAATAATTCTTATATAAGATAAGTAATTGATAACCTAAAACGTTTTCAACAGCACAATATTATCTACTCTACGAAGCACTTCTTCCACAAGCGATTCACAATAGAGCTCTTTCCGTAATAACGAAAGCGGATTATTGACGGCAGTAACGTAACATAACAATGCCGAGTAAACAGATGGCATAACAAGTAGTTTCTTAGGTAACATAACCATTATCGGCACATATTTACACACTGTTGATATGGATCTTACACATTTTCCTAACGCTGTTTTTGCCGAATGACCCTTCCGTATAGACGTATTTATGTCAAAAAAATAACCTCAGCCTAATCTCACTCTTCTGATTATAATGCAACATGTTAAAATTAAAAAAAATTAAAAATAATGTGATGTGCTATGCACGAAAATATTTTACTTGTGGAATCCCATTCAAAACCCACCATGCTGGTAATACCAGAATTAAAAAAAGAGATGCATCTACGAAGTTATTAATACCTTTCTGGATGTTGTAGTCCGACAAAGTTCGGCCATCTTCCAGCTGCTTGCCAGCAAAGATCAGTCGCTGCTGGTCTGGTGGAATGCCTTCCTTGTCTTGGATCTTGGCTTTCACATTCTCAATCGTATCTGATGCCTCCACTTCCAAAGTAATCGTTTTGCCTGTCAAGGTTTTGACGAATATCTGCATGCCACCTCGAAGCCTGAGGACGAGATGAAGTGTAGATTCCTTCTGGATATTATAATCAGAGAGGGTTCGGCCATCCTCCAGCTGCTTGCCAGCAAAGATCAGTCGCTGCTGGTCTGGTGGAATTCCTTCCTTGTCTTGGATCTTGGCTTTCACATTCTCAATCGTATCAGATGCTTCCACTTCTAAAGTAATGGTCTTGCCAGTCAGAGTTTTCACGAAAATCTGCATGATGTATCTAAAGGGACCAGAGTAAGTTTTTGTTCATTCACACCCTACCTGTACAAAATGGTCCAAGAGAAGAATGAGACCAACCAGTCAAGCAGTATTGAAAATAATAGTTACACAGTACAAGACACACTCACATCTCCTTCACTGCTATGCAAAGTAAAGTTTTACAAAAATAAAAAAACCCTTATGGTCACCACCCCTTCCCCAGCGTGCTGTAATGATCATGTCAGTACACAGTTAATACATAAATTAAGTTTAAATATAAACATTATACTGGAATGCATGAGGACATAAATGGTTATGTCTTTTGTTAGCATTAATTTCAAATTAGAAATTGCTGGAATGATGCCACTCAAAAGTTTACTAGATATTAATTAATATTACTGCCTCTAAGAGGGTAACCTAATATGTAATTTTTGTACAAAAAAAAAAATTTCACCAAAGTTACCTACCAAGACAGTATTTGCAATTACGATTGCACACATACATAAAACCTTCTGTTGTTCCCTATTCAGAGCATGTCAATTGAATTAACACAGCCATTCACTTACCAACTATGCTCAATACTGAACCTAATGGTGTATCACAATGTTTCTCAATCGTACTTCCTACGACGAAAATAAAAATTCTACGGTATCACAATGTTTCTCAATCGTACCTCCTACGACGAAAATAAAAATTCTACGGTATCTGGATACAAACTTCAAAGATTATACTAGTTACTTTTTCAAAAAGATATCAAAATGCTGTAGCTTTTTGGATAAACTAATAAAAATTTAAAAATTCGTCCCTTTCCAAGGCCGTCTCCTTCACAAATGTCAAAATGGCGGATAACACATACTCCTTCCAAAAAAAATTACCCAGCTTCAGATTCAACAAGAAACTATTTCTGGTACAAAGCGCATGAAATTACTTGCAACAAGCGAATTCAACATTAAGCACCCACACACCAAACTATGTAAGTGAACATCACATTTTACTAGAACAACGAGAATGAAAATGCCACATCATAACAATATGGCGTATCATAGTAAAACAGTCAACCGAAATTACACAGAGGGAGTCAAGTTCTTATATTTAATACCAAACAGATTCGTAATTGCCAGCTTGATTTAATACAAAGATAATATAACACCCAAATTCTTACACATATTAATATATTCAATACGCTGAAATGTAACCTACTTCCAAATATTACTGAGACAATTGCAATTATACTTCGTAAAATGAAATTGCTTTACAAAATAAATTTCGTGTGAAGACTCGAACTTCAATTATTGCCTTACCTATAATCAAGGATTTTCCAACGCTGAACAAAGAAAATTATTCTCCTTTCTATTCGCTTTTACAAACAGCTTTCAACTGTAGCAAGAGCTTCAGAGTCGTCGTTTGTATAGTTTGGAGAAGACGACTTTCATTGGCCGAGAATTCCTATCATATCATTGGTTCATTCGGTTTGACGCAATTATTTCAGAGCGAGGCAACAGCATGAAGAGAAATCCCCTAAACCTAACATACTATTGGATCACATAATTTCAGACACCGTATTGGTATCACTGCAAATGCGGAAGATGAGTTTGCTATTGACGCAATGACGTCACAGTTTAAGTGGCAGAAAATACAACGTAGCGAACCGCTATTGGTTGATACTGAACAAAGACATTCCTATTCTGGATCCTTCTAGATCAATCTTTTGTTTTAAAAATGCAGACTCAGTACTGCATAGAATATATTTCCAATGTCGCACTTCCATATGAACGTGAATTAAATAAACTAGAGCAATTCTGCATCTATCCAAGTCACATGAATCTTTGAATCTCTGGTTATGACGCAATATATACGATACAGAGTAACATGCATTTGAGTAAATGATGGCGTAGTATCTTAAAAAACATGTTATCGATATCAGTCATATGGCTTAAGTTTATGAAAGCAACTGTTAACCTGTCATTAAAATTCAAAAGTTTTTGGACAATTATTGTTGCCTACATATGTGCCACTCCCAATAATTTAAGACACGGATAAATTAATAATGGAGGCCATGTCATTAGAAATCAATACCCCTGTTTCCACATTCAGTGCCACAAACGTGGCAAATGTGCAACTCTTGTCACAATTTCTTTTTGACATTTATGAATTGCATCACGACATTGATAACTGTGCAACTCTTCTTATCAGTTATAAATCTGTTCAAAATTGTGCACTAACATTTTAATTTATTCATTGTACTTCATTAGATAATGTATATCTCTGTTGAACTCCACACTGGTCATACATAAAAACCTCTCAGTAATGCTATGAAACTATTCACACACCATGACATTAAATTCTTTATGTAGCCATACGACCAGTTAAAACGTGAGAAGGTTACGAAAACCTGACATTCCTTTTAACTAATTTTTTTTATTTTGTTAAATGACGTAAAAATTTCACCACTTCAAGAAATTACTTTTCTTGGTGAGGTATATAGTTTTAACTAATTTTTTTTTATTTTGTTAAATGAAATTACTTTTCTTGGTGAGGTATATACAAGACGAGAAACAGCCTGCTAAGAAACTGGATGTTTTATTTTCTTTCTTATTCTTCGCTTGGCAGCTAGAATTGTGAAATGGCCAAGACATAGTTGGTAATGAGCCAATACTAGTCAATGAACTAAGATGAGAGACGTTCCAGACATTGATCCGTATTGGAGCGAAGCACAAAGACTCGTATACGACTAGTGTTTGAATACAAAGGCATCAGAAATAGCATATTTCTAAGATATGCTAGGCAAAACTACGCTTATTTACAGTTGTATAATTTTTATTCCCTCCTGTGGTTTCGAGTTTCACGTTTTTTTTGCAGCGAACAATATCGAGGACATTATTTTAAACTGGAATGAACAGTGAACAGCACTGAATTACTTAAATGCTGCTATTATATGAAGCCATATTTTGTTCGCTCGGATCCCTGGCAGAATTTCGTCGTAAACGTAGAAACTTTGCTCGGAGGAGGTTAGGTATTTATTATTAACCTTTTTTCACGCCTTGAAGAATACTTCTCCCTCCTATTCTTTAAAGAAATTATCACATTTTAAAGTCGACAATATTTCTTATTGGTTTTCTGATGCTATAATATAAGAAACATTTCGAAATAAAGTGTATTTTAGGGAACTGAAAATGAGGCCGTTTACATTTCTGGCATTATGCCACAAAGCAAAATAATTTTGTAAACCGGTATCCGTGAACAGATACACAGGAAGGAGTAAATATTTGAATAGGTACTGTAAACCGGTTCAATCTACATTATAAAGCCGCTTCGTAACAACCAAGGGAAAATTCACCAACAAAAGATGACTGATTTTAAATAAGTTT